GTCATGCATGTACTGACTTCCTAAACTTATAGCATAAGCAATATCTTGGATCTAGTATGGTCAAGATAAATCAACCTCCCAAACCAATCTCTTGATACCTGCCAATTGTCAAACTGAACTTGCCCCACTCCAGCTGAAGATATGATTAGCTTCAATAGGTGAATTCTGCAGGTTTACATCCCAACATTACCAGGTTTCTTTTAAGAGATCCAGGATATATTTTCTCTGAGAAATAAAATCCCTTTTTTCTGACCTAGCCAACTCTATCCCAAGGAAATATCCTCAACTTTCCCAAATCCCTTAATCCTCAAACTGCCCTAGGCTAACAATCTCAAACTCCCTAGCTAACAAATTTCTCAAGTGAGTCATTTCTTCTTCATTATTTCCAGTCATCACTATATCATCAACATAGACAATAAGCAACATGATCTTACCTCCATGATGTTTAATGAATAAAGTATGATCAGCATTGCTCTGAATATACCCAAAGGAAAGCATAGCTTTACTAAATCTTTCAAACCATGCTCTTGGTGATTGTTTTAGACCATATAATGACTTCTTCAGCTTGCAAACTTCTCCTCTGGTTTTGTCATCATAAAATTCAGGAGGAATCTCCATATACACCTCTTCTTTCAAATCACCATGTAGAAAAGCATTTTTAACATCAAATTGATGTAACTCTCAGTCAAGATTGACTGCACAAGACAAAAAAATTATGATTGTGTTCATCTTGGCTATAGGGGCAAATGTTTCCTGATAATCAACACCATAGGTCTGGCTGAATCCTCTGGCTACCAATCTAGCCTTGTACCTCTCAATCTAGCCTTGTACCTCTCAATTGAACCATCTGACCTATGTTTAACTGTGAACACCCATTTACATCCAATTGGCTTCTTTCGTAGTGGAGGAGTTACAAGATCCCATGTCTCATTTTTTGCCAAAGCTCTCATCTCCTCAACCATTGCAGCCTTCCAGTTTGAATCTTGTAATGCCTCTTGCCAATCCGTTATAGAACAGAAGGAAACAGACAAAAACAAAGGCCCTCATATAGGAAGGGGACAGACGAGTTGTAGGAGAGTTAAATGGGAGATTGGGGAAGATAGGATGTTTAGTGCATGTTCTAACTCCTTTTCTAAGAGCAATAAGAATATCAAGGTCATTATCAGAAGGACTGGAATCAAGATTAGGATCAGAATCAACAGGAATTAAAGAAGACTCACCGAGTTCTTGCTTTTCTATATCTTCAGGGACCGAAATTGGAGAGGACGGTTGATCAGAGGTCTCATGCTCCATGGTTGTATCTGTATTAGTCTGCCATGTGTAGGTTTTCAAATTAGGTCTATCCAATCTTCCTAGAGATTTGGGTGGTTGCTCTCTCTTACTATCTATGTCTACAGGAATCTCCCCCTGGAAAGAAATGTCATCCATACCTCTTACATCTGATATTTCTCCTCCTGAAGAGGTGACTGGGAAGAAAAATAAGATTCAAAACTCCCGAAAAGGTAACATCCATTACTCACAAAGTATTTCCTGAAGAAGGATGAATAAACACTTGTATCCTTTTTTGGTAGTTAGAGTAACCAACAAACACACACTTCAAGGGCTCTAGGAATTAATTTGCTTAAGACCATTCTGATGAACAAAGCCAAACGCATCCAAAGATTTTAGAAGGTGCAATATAAGAGTTTTTCCTTGAAGAACCTCTTAATGGAGTTTTAAAATTAAAGTACGAGAGGCATACGATTGATAGGTAAGCAGCAGTAAAATAGCATCCCAATATCCCCAATATGGTTTGGGAAGATTTATAGTGAACATAAGGGACCTAGCTACTTCCAGTAAATGCCTATTTTTCCTTTCTGCTACTCCATTTTGAGCACTAGTATGGACACAACTAGTCTGATGGATAATACCATTAGAATCTAAATAGGTACGAAAATCTGCATTCATGTATTCAGTACCATTATCAGTTCTTAGGACTTTAACATGAGCATCAAACTGAGTACAAATCATTTTATGGAAATTCTGAAAACACGAAAAAACTTCATTTTTTGTTTTCATCAAATAAACCCAAGTCAATCTAGTTAGTGCAACAATCAATAAAGGTCACAAACCATCTATAACCAGAAAGAGAGACAGTCTTAGTAGGACCCCAAACATCAGAATGAAAAGTAGCAAAAGGAATCAAATTTTTATTATTAATCGGGAATAAGAATGCCTGGTGTGTTTGGCAAGTTCACAAGCATCACATACTAATGAATTAAAATCACATTCAGTAGACAAAGTGGGAAATAAACGTCCTAAAACAGAAAAAGAGGGATGTCCTAATCTCCTATGCCATTGAATAACTTCATCGGAAGGATTTCTTAAAAGTTCCTAACAAAGCTTGACTAGTACCCGAATTTGAAAAATGACAAACGTCATCCAACAGATATAGTCCATCGCGCAAGCTACCACTGCCAATCATTCTCCCCATGTTCAGTTCTTGAAATATATAATGAGTTGGGTAAAAAGTTACTTTGCAATTAAGTACTTTTGTGATTAAGCTGACAAATAACAGATTAATAGGAAATCTGGGAACATGAAGAACATGGGAGAGTTTAATATTGGAAGTACAGTCAATAAAACCTGTGCCAGCAATTGGTACTAATGAGCCATCCGCAATGCGAATTTTGTCTGTGCCTTGATATTTAGAATATGTGAGGAAATGTTTTATTGAGCCGTTGTTATGTTTATTTGCCTCCTATCTATAACCCAAGAGGGCGTTTGCAATTTTTCAAGAAAGGTGAGAAAAGCATTTGACCTGAATAACAAAATTGGAGGCCGCGTGAGTCTGAGGACGGTTTCAAGCTGTGACATAATCGCTTTCAGGGGAACTGAATCTCCTATCAGAAAAAGCTTCCAGCAGTAGATGGTTCCTCAAGATAAAGCTCACTATCAGATATTTGTGCCTGTGGGGGGTCTAGAAGAAACTGACCCGTTCCTTCCACGCCCTTTAGTTGGGAGTCCATGTTAATTCCAGCAGAAACTCCTTGGGTGTGCTGTTCTTACCGCAATAGTCACAAAATAATGATCTCTATTCTGAAAAACTGTTCTTGCAGCCTGGATATGTTCTTCTTGCAGAATTAGCAATCAACCCTGCTTTTTCAATGGTAGATCTGTGAACTATAGCGTTTCTCCTAGTCTCCTCTTGCTGTACAAATGAGTATGCTTGTCGTAAGGATGGAAGAGGACTCGTCCAAAGAACTTTGGGACTCGAATCTGATCATACTCGTTATTTAGGCCAGCCATGAAATCTACACACGTTCTACTTCAATCAACTTCTGAACTTGAGTCGCATCATCAGTACATTCTTGCTTGAAAGTCTTTGATAATAATCTAGTTCCTGCCATAACCCATAAGTTCCGCAAAATACTGAGGCGATGGTCAGATCTTCCCTGCTTGTTCATGAACTTTCTGTCGCAATTTACCTCTGAGCAAGTTTCCAGTTTGTGAATACGTCTGTGGAAGCCAGCATCCCATATCTTCTTACGTATCAAGAAGGCAAATATCCTCGGGAAATAGTTGGATGCAATAGAATTTATTAACCAAGACATAATAAGAGAATTCTCGCGATTTCCATTTGTTAAAACTCGGATCTGCGAAACTGGTTTTAGTCGCCTTCCACCATCAAGTATCCTTGCAAAACCTCTTGCTTCAGATAAATAATAAACAAGACCGAGAACCCAAGCCAGGTAGTTTGTTCCATCTAACTTCACTTCACTGGACTAATCTGAAGTGAGGGACTCTCTGAGTGAAAACTTATATCCACCTTCTTTCCGTCACCCATACTGTCAGATTAAAGAAAAATTCAAACAGAAGTGTGAATAACCAGCAGTGGCAGAAAAACACTGGAAAAAACGGGAAAAACATTCCAAACGCAAAACTGGTGCTGAAGAACAGTAGGGGAAAACACGCCACAACAAGTCGAGCTCGTCGGAACAAGAAACGTCGACGGAGCTCGCCGGAAACAGCCCCACGCGCCGACGCTTGAAGAACGGCTGAAATCTTCTGGAGGCGCATGTGCACACACTCTTGGTCGGACGGCGACGCGGCTTGGACGGAGGGCCGATCGGCGGTCCCTCTTCCTTCTGAGCTGGGCGGTGACGGCCAACTCCCACTCTCGGCGGCACTGTGTGTATCTCAGCCCTATTTCAAACCGTAACCGTTGCCGAAAAATTCACGGCAATGGCTCTGATACCATGTAGAAATTAAAGGAAAGAATATGTTTTATTTCTTTCAATTTGTAATCATATTTTCAACCTCTACTCCACTATATATATACAAAAATTGTTCCAATATAGGAAGTAATCTAAATAGGATTATTCCCTAAACTAGGAAAACATAATCATCCCTAAACTAGGAAACATAATCTTTACACTAATTAGGAATAAACCTAAACTAGGAAACACAATATTTACTTTAATCACAAAGATTTCAACATAAACCTTAATTCTATTTTAGTCCCTAAAGATTAATATATTGCAGTAATATCACTTAATTTAGTATATTTTGTATTAAGGTATAATCAAAATGATTTCAGTCAATTAGTTATTGGGTTAATGACTTGGCAGTGGACTTTTCTTTTAATGTTAAGAATTGACTGTTGGTTCCCTAAAAGCATTCTAACCTGACTTAAGTATGTCCTCTAGGGCTTTTAGGACCAGCCAACCACATCTTGAAATGGTAAGATTAATGTGTTTTAGAGTGCCTACAATCAGATTCTTAATATTAATAGGAGAAATTTTATTACAAAATCAATTTAGTAACCAAATGACTGCAATTTTTTTTGTTGCACCAAACTAGTGGCTTCACTTTACATTTTGGGAGGACAATGAAGTTAAATCTCTCTTGAATACTTAGTTTTGTATGTGCTATGCTCCTCCTTCTCTTCCCTTTTTCTCGGTCTATTTCCTTGTTATGGCCTTCTTTGACGCAGTTGCTAATCTTTTCCATTTCTTCAGGTGGAAGCAAAAGATCCTGATAGTGGTGCTTTGTATTATTACAACCAAAGCACTGGAAAGAGTCAGTGGGAAATGCCCGTTGAAACATCTTTGATTCCACAAGTTCCCTCACCATTACCACTTCTAGAAGACTGGGTGGAGGCATTGGATGAAACTACTGGTTTGTTGCATATTGGTCATTTATTTACTTACCTCTGTGCCTTTTTTTAATAGTATAGAGAAAGAAACTTGGGGATGAGAGTTCAAAATCACTGTTTTGAATAGAAGAGTTAATTGGTTTAGGTCCTTTTTTAATCTTTTAAAGATGAGATCTTGCCTCAAACTTCTCTGGCAGAAACATTATCAGCTTCTCAACAACAGTTCAGTCATTGAATTCTTCACCAAGTAGCCTAATATTGTTTACTATGATCATCAATTCGTCAAAATATCCTTTGGCAGATTCTGAGTCCTTTCCAAGAAACTCAATTTCCCGTCTTAAGTTCATAACCCCCATCTGTGCAGTCTTCTAATTCCATTGGAGCTCCTCAATCTTTTCTTAAGCTTGCTTTGCTATCTCACAAGCCATAATCACTATGAAGATTATTTAAACATCTAAGCTCCATAATATACTTAAGATCTTAAGCTGTGTACAAACAGAAACTGAACTATCAAATACAACCCCAACTTTAGAATATCAAATCCGTAATACTAACAGTTTCTCATAACAAGTTTGTGTCATGTACTGTCTAATCATAGTTTTATTATAAAATTCCAATAGTGAAATCCAAATGCTTCTGTAATATATTTCCATTCCGATTATGAAATGGTTATTGTTTGTTATTTTTCATCATTCTTGTCCTACTAAGAGTGTTATTAAAACGGTGGTCCATTCATTAATCCTGTATTGTGAACTTTGATTATCTTATTGTTGTGGGGCTGCTGGACTTAGGGTAGTTTTACTGCTATTTACGGTGTTTTTATTTAGTTATTCAGTGTTTATCATGTTATTATCAGTTTCTTTGTTAATGGGTAGAGTTAGGGTGTTTTGTTTACCGATAAAATTCGATCATTCCTTGTCCTAACCCTGAAGAGTATTCTATTTTACTATTTTACGAAATGGGTCCCCATTCTTCATTGAATGGGTAATTGCCCTGGGGCTAATTAAATATGGGTGAAACTTGGGATTATCTTAGTGTCGGGTTTGTGCTTGCGTGCTGCTCCTGGATCTTAGGGTCACGTTTATTACATGGGGCACTATTTATTTGATAAACAGAGTGGGTTTTAATTTTAGTTACCCTTTTCCACTAGTGGTTTATTCATGGGTTACCTATAATCAGTTCCGGCCTTTGTTATAATGGGGATATTAGTGGTGTGTGGCCCATGTGGGTTAAGAGTTATTTATCGTAATGGGTAGTTATTAGTGGGTAGTGGGTAGTTTTAGCTTTGCATTTAGTTGTTTAAAAGGTTGTGATATCAGGAAAAATGTAAGCAGAAATTTATGAAAATGTTTTTGAGTTCCTAAAACTCAGAGATTGTAGAGTTCTCTCTTAACGAGCTCTAGGAGATTGCAGATTCTCTCTAAGTCTGTCACCACTGATAGAAGGAAGAAAACTCATTCTAAGATACTCATCTCAAACCTGATCCCCTAATTCAAAGACCCATAACTAGATCCAAATTTGGGACCATAACAATTGGTATCAGAGCCAAAAGTTATGGGCGAATCTGTTCAAGACCAGCTGGGACTTCATTGTCACTCATACGTCAGTCCACTTTTTACCTATATATCCCTACAATTTAACCGAATGTTAAATGGGGTGTGATAGCATGTGCACTTATCACTTCTTCCAGTAGTTTCATCGCGTAAATATTAAATTTTTCTCGCCGTTTAGGTCCCTTCTTGTTTTCAACTTCTGAAACAAGTGCTTTCATTGGGCAGCTGTTTTAGTCCTCCCTTGAGTTCATCGGTAATGAAATCTCACACCCCGTCTGAGAATCGAGACAAAAGACATATAATTCAATGTGCAGAGGACAAGTTCTTGTGTGTGAAGCCCGCCTTCTCTAGTTAATTCCCTTCTTCTATAGTTCGGTGCTTTTCGCCTGATACCTACAGACAGAATAGTGCCAACGCTGTTTTTCAATCGACCGGGCCGTACTGGATATATGGTTCTTTGTGGAAGTTTTGAATCTTCTTTATAATTTCTAGATTGCTAATTTGGAAAATTTGTAGGCTTGGATTTCACATACATAATTCTCTTAATACTCACCATATCCCACTTTATAAAAAAGCATTCACCACTTGTAGGTCGAAGCCTTTTAATTTAGGGTAATTGTCAATTTTTGTTACATTAACCTCATTGAAACATCTATAGAGTAACACTATTAGTTGCTCCAATGTCTGTTATCATGTAATCTTCGCGAATTTTGAATACATATATTGTCGCTGACAGGGAATTTATTATGTCTCATTTTTCTATTTTATATTTTGACCGTAAGAGATGCAAATCTTGATGGTCTTCCTCCGTGGCCTTTCAATCGTTAAAGGTTATATTTTTTTTTGTTTTTTTCAGGGTTCATCAACAATTCCTACCAAAACCCTCCACAATCTCTCATGAAGTTCTTCTTCGGTAACTATTGTGGTGCTGGCATTTAGAGAAGTTTCTTCTTCCTCTTTGTTCAAAGAAAGAATATGAAAGAAAAGTAAAAGGCAAATCCAACATTTAGTCCAAATTATCACCGCAACCAATATTAAAACAAGCAAACAATCTTCATCACCTTGTAATTGTCCAAATATCTATTTAAACTTCAAAAAAAAGAGGCACAAATTGTCATTGTAAGTGCATGCCCATGTGATTGTCATTGTCAATATCATCAACCTCCTCCCAACATTTGCATGTGTTTGTTGGGTATAGAAGGTAGAATGAGAGCACAGAGCTGGTACCCAGTGCGCCAGGTTGTTGTGCAAAAAGTCCTGAGCATTTTTTGGAGAACTTTGAGCTTACGCAAACATTGGAAAATATATGGCCAGTCGATCAGTCTTGCCCTTCGATTAAGCAACAATCGCAGCCTATTGAGGGCACGGACCTCCTCAACGCAAATCCTCCCTCACCTATACAGCCATCTCTTATCTGTTCTATATCTTCATGTGGATATGATATGTGAGCTTGAAGGTTATGAGTGGATGTGACAAAGGTCTGCTCTCAATGTTGCATGCGCCTCAAAATGCAAAAGTTCCATCAAGCCTTATATATATTGATGTGGATCGTATTTGGCTGGATTCCAAATATACCTGTTCCTCTCTCAATTCATTATTCCTTTTCCCGAGAGAGTGGCTGCATTTGATGTCTCGTTTTGTCCATTTCATTCTATAGGTTATAATTTTGTTGTTTACTATTTATCTCCTCTGCCCCTATATTGGGATGGCAAATTTGTCTTATTTAAGTTGTAGTTTTATCTAAGCTATATTATAAGAATTTTAGTATCAATTTGAGACGATTGAGATCCGTCGTCAATTAGCAGGAAGAAAATTTTCTCAGAGGGATACATGAGAGAGCCACAAACCTTTTGAGTAGAGAGAGAAGAGAGAGCAAATGCAGTATTAGAGAGAATCCATGGAGACGAGAATGGGTAATAGTTGTTGACACCCATAACTAGATCCAAATTTGGGACCATTGTCCTCCAGTCCACTTCCTCTTCCCTACTAAGGTAAATGGGGTGTGATAGCATGTGCACTTATCACTTCTCCAGAGTTCACTTAATTTTTCCTTAGTTTCTTGTTTTCAACTTCTAAAGGCTTTCATGGGCAGCTGTTTGTAGTCTCCTTGAGTTCATCGGTAATGAATCTCACACCTTTTTTCTGATCAAAGCATAATCAATTGCACATGAATCTGTGTGGTTTTGTTCCTTCCAAAGTTAGTCTTGGCTTGTGAACCAAGAAGTAGCTGTTCAAGGTACTGCTCTGGTTCTTGTGGAAGTTTTGATCTCTTTATATTTCTAGATTGCTAATTTGGAAATTTGTGAGGCTTGATTTCACCCATTCCTTAACATATCACTTATGCACATTACTGTCCTTTGATGTCAATTTGTTACATAAACCTCATTGAACATCTATAGAGTAACACTATTAGTGCTCATGTCTGTTCTGAACCGAATTTGAATACAAATGCTGACAGGAATTTATTATGTTATTTTCTATTTAATTTTGACCACAATCAATTTATTCAGGTTCATCAACAATCCCTACCAAACCCCTCCACAATCTCATGAAGTTCTCTTCGTAACTAATTGTGTGCTGCATTAGAGAAGTTTCTTCTTCCTCTTTGTTACCAGAAAGAATATAAACGAAAAGAAAGGCAAAATCACATTTAGTCCAATTAATCACCGCAACCAATTATTAACGCAAACAATCTTCATCACCTTGTAATTGTCCAATATCTATTTAAACTCAAAAAAAGAGGCACATTGTCAATTGTAGTGCATGCCCATGTGATTGTCATTGTCAATATCATCAATTAAACATGCATTTTGGAGAAGAGAAAACAATGGTACAGTGAGGTTGTTGCAAAAATCAGCATTTGAAACTTGTTAGAAAATTGGATATGCAGTGACAGCTTGCCGTTGCAATGATTTGGGCACTGACTCCTCCAATCTCCCTCTATCTTTCACGTGTGATGATGTGAGCTGAAGGATGAGGCTGGACATTGTGCAATGTTGCACAAGGAATTCACAAGCCTTATTGATATCGTATTTGGCTGGAAATTCCAATCCTTCTCTCTTCATTTCTTCCCTCTAAATTTTATCTCTCTTTTTCATCTTTGGTTTTGTTTTATTTTTTGTTTGGATGCAAATTTGTCTTATTAGTTGTAGTTTTATCTTAAGCTATTTAAGTTTTAGATCCATTGACGATGAGATCTTTTAGCAGGAGAGAGATTAATGGATACAGAGAGAGCAAATGCAGTAGAGAGAGAAGAGAGAGCAAATGCAGTATAGAGAGAATCCATGGAGAGAGAAATGGGTAAAAGTTGTTGACAAGAATTATATAAGGAAGGGAAAATGTGCTTAGTTGGTGATATTTTTATTAGAAAAAATAAAAGGCAGAATCCAAGTCAGAATTGTGACTTGATTTTAATTGGAATTCGGCATGAGGAATATTATTGTTACTCTAACGGATGTTTAATGAGTTTTAAGTGGCATATGGAAATCAGGGGATAAGTGCATAAGTGCACAAGTGCACAAGTGATACGTTGAGGGCAAGCAGGTGAAATTAAGCCAAATTTGTGGTGTGGTGTTCCATTTTAATTGGTCCCCTTGTACATCATAAGTTGAAGTATTGAGGTAGTCTTTATATGTCCAAAGTCCGAACCTGGTTTTGATGCCACGGAAGTGATGGGAGATATGTGTTATAAAATACTATTTGGTTAAATGGGAAAACTCAAAATATATAGCACCCTTGATTATACATGGATGTTAGTCCAAATTGAAATGCGTACTAACAATTGCTTTATGAAGTTTTGTATTGGTGGTATTTTCCAAGGACTTCAATTTTTCTTTAATATTTTCTAGTTTGTCTAAATAAAAGGTTTCTAGGAAAATAAGGATTTCTCAAAAGTTTTAGTTCAATGATGAATTATTGATTCATGCAAGTTAATGAATGAGAAATAATTTTAGGGAAAAAAAACTTTGGGTTCCTTAATTATAGCGAAAACTAATTCATAGGTCCTTCCATTTTCAAAAAAAACTGAGTCCCTAAATGATAGCAAAACTAACATATAGGTTACTCCATCCAAAAATTCCATCATTTGTCCGTCAATTCCCTTAGAAGCGGAAATAACCTTGTTTAAAAGAAAAATTATGAGGCCCTAAATTATAGAAACTAACGTATAGGTCTCCCCGCAGTTAGTTCTTGAAAATGGAAGGACCTACGTGTTAGATTCACTCTAATTTAGGGACTTGAAATTTTTTCCCCATAATTTTATACATAGAGCTAGTGCAACTAGATGATGATGATGTTAAATAATGACACATCAAGTTGAGATTATTAACAAGCTAAGTGGCAATCATTCTGGTATACACCTGTGTGTTATCGCAGTTTTATGAAGGCTTGAGAAGTGGGAAAAAAAAAAAAGAAAAAAAAGAAAAAGGAAATGGAAAAGTCAAAAGAGGCTTAGCGGGAGGTGTTAAAATATTACTATCATGGTTACTTGTGGATTATGTTGGAATTGTTGAAATTCTGGTTGCCTTGGCTTCTTGGGATCTTGCTTAATTACTATTACATTGAATTTATACTAGTAGTTCATGGTGCTATATTCTTTGGAATTAAAATTTTATTGTTGATATCACCTAATTATTTTTCCAATAAAATTCTACTGTGCAATTCATGATGTCGGTTAGATTCTTCTACAATTTTGTGCGTGATCCCACATGAGAAAAATATAGAAAAGTAAATGGCGTGTACTGAGTAAGGTGGGACCAATCAAAATGGCCTAGGCTAAGCCAAATTGTAAATGATTTTGATTAATTGCTCTTAGGGCCTAGATTTAACATGATATTAGCCTCATGCCCAAATGGGCTGAACCTTGGGACCATGTTCAAGCCCTTGCAGGCCCAAAGCTGATGGAGTTATGCCAGCTGGTCCATGTGCTATCAAGTGTCAACTAGCCTGTTGATGTGAAATCAGTTCCACATCGAATAATAACGAAAATGGATGTACCACAAGGCAATTTGTTTGCTGTAAGTGGGTTTCATCACTTACTCACTTATAAGCCCACGTGTGTTTGGTCCATGGATTTTAATATGGTATCATGGCCTGGGACCTAAGGTATGACATTAAGGAAGTTTTTGAGTGGGTCGTGTGCCGATGGACCCTTGTTGGGCCATCATATGCTTGTCAAGTGGCCCAAATTGCCACCTGAGGAGGGAGTGTAGTAGTGTGAGTTAATCCCACATTAGAAAAATATAAGAAGAGTAAATATCATATAATGAGGAAGGTCAACCAATCAAATAGGCTTAGGCAACTTTGTGTTAAAGTTAAGCGCAACTCATTATAAGCGAAGTTCTTAATGAAATTGTTAATGAATTTGATTAATTGCTCCTAGGGTTCAAATTTAACGGTTCTTTACCCTGTATTTTAAGTTTTTTATGTATGGTCAAACTTGTGATGAACATATGGAAGTCAAACTAGTATTTATGACCATAAGAAGCAGTTAATAAGCATCCCAGTTCGTTTTCAGTCTTCCTTTTCCTCTACTTAAAAATTTATTCATTTTATATGCAGGTCATAAGTATTATTACAATACAAAGACACATGCATCACAGTGGGAGCATCCTAATTCATCTGAGGTTGCCTCACAACAATTCTCCAACACTGCAAATCCCAGAAACCATATTTGGGATGATCAATCATTTGAGCTAATGAAATGCATGGGATGTGGTGGGTGGGGAGCAGGCCTTGTGCAGGCATGGGGTTACTGCAATCACTGTACACGGTAAAATCATCATCAGCATATAAATTCTGTTGGTTCCTTTGCCTTTCTCTGGTCATTTTATGTCCAAAAAGATTGATGATTTGTCTGTGGTGTTAGACAATCAATTTAAATAACCTATCGTATAATTCATGTTCGCAAATGCACATGCATGTTTTATCTGATTTATTTTTATTTGTTACACAAGTCAGCTTTCAGGTTTACTATCTAAGATTATCTCGAGTAGAAACTCAAGGAGACAACTTCTAGAATCTGAATTTAGGCAGCTGAATTCTTCAGTTGTTTGCAGAATTGTAGATTTGGTTGAAGTTAAAACTAAAATAAAAAGAATAAGCTTCACATTTAAAATTCTTGGGCATCACAAATCCAAATGATAACAATTCTTGTAAATTATTAATTGGAAATGAAACAGTAAAGCATTACAACTAGTTAAAAAAAGGCTGCATTGTCCCATAACAACTAGTATGGCGTGTTTTGTCTGTAATAGTGCATAAGAAACAGTTGATAACCAGCAAGATTTGACAAGTGAAAAAGAGAGGGGAGGAGAAAGCTGCATAATTGTGCAGCTTTTTCTTCCCGTTTCCCTTTTCCTTGTGGACTTTTTACAGTTACCCTCCTTTTAAAGTGGTAACTCTTAAGGCTCTGTTCAGCAAGAGCGTTTGGAGTAGTGTTTAGTGTTTTGATTGAGTTAAAATACTGTTTTAATTAACTATTGTATTTGGTAATGTCACATCTATCTTAACGTTTAGAGTTTGAGGCAGTGTTTCATGAAATGTTATCCTTATTAATGTTTAGCGTTTTATAAATTTTTTATCAAGCTTATGCCCATTACTTATCTTTGTCTTGTTCTCTATGACCTTATCCTTTTTGTCTTTTTATATTAAACAACTAATCAAACACTTACTCTTACCGAACACTTTTATTTTAAACCGCTATATAAACAACTAACCACTAACAACTAATATCTAACCGCTAACAACTAGTAAAACAGCGGACAGCTACTACAACAGCTAATATCTATTAGAACTACTGAAATTGCCGAACAGACCCTAAATAAGCGTCCATACTAGTGGGCTTTCTAATAAAGTCCTATTTAGGCTAAGTTTCACCTTTTATATTTTAAATAGAAAGCTATTGGTTTGTTAAAAAAAATTGTTTTTCTATAACATTTCTCTTGGAGCTATTTTTAAAAGAATTAAAATTTTAATTTTTTTTTCACTTTGTAATATAGGCTTAATAGTCAGTTTTGTACATTGTTATTTTTTTTTAAAAAGAAATGTCCGTTATGACTGAAATTTGGGTTAGGAATATTGATATTTATATACTTAGGTAAATATGTCAGATAATAGATGACTCATTTTTGCTTATTACACTAGTGTTTTAATAGTCAAACTTACAATCCAATATTGTGATATTGTAACCAATGCCTTTATTTATACTTTTGACAGCAATTCTTTGTATTTAAAGATATTAAGTCTAAGTGTTTAAGAGATAATAGACTCTTAAAGCTAATACACTTCCTTTTTTGGATTTCCATACAATAAAAATAAAAGGATTAATGTTTTCCTACATGGACAAGGACTCAAGATGAACCTAAAAGGACATTCAGGCTTTTTGTTCAAAAGTTGGAAGCTGCTTATACCCTTGAATTCTAAAGTGGCAACTGATTTATTCAAAAAAGCATAAATGCAAGATCATCTAGTACGCCCCTAACAATGCTCTATACTTGAAATCTATAAAAAATTCTAAGGCTCTAATTTATTATTATTTTTTTTTGGAGCTCTCCATTATATGCTTCATCATATGACTTTTGAATTTCATTATGTGTCAATTATCTCTAAGTCCATATTGCAACTACTATCTCTCTGGTGTTTTTGGATTGGGGGTGGGGGGTGGTTGGTTTTTGTAGGGGGTAGAGTAAGGAAATTAAGAACAATAAATAATAGGAGAATTTAGCTAAATTGGAATTAATCAACAATAAAACCTCCAAGGTGGATTTAGATTCCAAACAACTTGATATCTGTTTCACAAACTCAAGAACACAAATAGCAAAAATGACTAAGAATAGGCCCCAGGATAAATATCCCATACAGAGCAAGTTTGCCCCAAAAACACAAATAACAAAATAGCATACCATCCCACAATTTCACTACTCATTATATACAGCTGGTGGATATAGATCCTCTAACGAACTACTGCCACGTTTCCTTCTCTCAGCTGCACCCCTTGATTGTCTTGTGTTGCTAACAGATTATTCCCTTGCATCATTGCACTTTTCCCCCTTCTAGAATAAACCATAAGTTGTCTTGGGCATGCTTCATTCCTAACATTGCCACCATGTTGAGAAGCAAACCTTGTCCCCAAGGTTGAATTGAGGAAACTGGTCCACCAAATCTGCTTCATCCACCAAGTCGCCCCTTCTACAGACTCCATTGCACCAGAACCTGCTGAACAGATTTGTCATGACGTTGAATGCAACGGCTTTGGATCACTTGATCAAGTTCAAGAACAAGTCCCTCTTCTACTTCAAGAGCATTTGATAATTCTGTAAGCATTGGATGGTCCCCAACAACTCATTTAAGCTATGATACATGGAACACTGGATGTATCCGTGAAGTAGGAGGGAGTTTCAGTCTAAAAGCCACAGGTCCAATCTTGGCAAGCGCCTTAAATGGCCCATAATACCTTGAAGCCGATTTGGAACAAATTCGAGGATTTACTGATCGTTGGTGACGAGGATGAAGTTAGAACTTTATCTCCAATAATAAATTGGATATCCCGTCTATGGCGATTGGCATACTTAACCATTAGTTGTTGAGCCTGGTATAGATTATGTTGAAGTTGTCTAATGATCTCATCATGATCTTGAAGACTTTGAGCAACAGATTCAGCCCATATTTCACCAGGTAAATAGTGCTGTAGTACCAGAGGTGCTCGCCCATACACTATCTCAAATGGTGTTTTGCTCGTAGCACTGTGGAAACTGGTGTTATGCCAATATTCCGCTCAACATTGCCACTTTGCCCAAGTTTTGGTTGCTCAGAAGAAAAACAACGTAAGTAAGATTCGAGACAACGATTCAATACCTCAGTTTGCCCATCGGTCTAGGGGTGATAGGGGAAGCTAAACTTGAGCTGAGTGCCCTAAAACCGAACTAAAAAATAATGGATCTCTGTCGCTAACTACTGTTTTAGGAATCCCGTATAGACGGACCACTTCTTTGGTGAAAACTTCAATGATAGATTTTGCAGTAAAAGGATGTCGTAGCGCCAAAAAAAGGCCATATTTAGAGAAGCGATCCACAATGACAAAGATGCAATCAATGCCTTGGGACCTTGGTATATGCCTTCCTAAATCACCTTGGGAATAGGGAGAGGTTTTAAGAATCTAGTTGGTAATTGAGCTTCATATTTATTACGTTGACAAGTCAGACAAGCGGCAGTAAACTTTTGAGTGGTACCCATCATTCCCTTCCAATAGAAGTTGGTGGCAATTCGCCTATAAGTTGCAAATTAGGAGACGACATAAACTTGCCTAATGGATAATAGTAGGAGACAGCGTAAACTGATTTAAGACACTTACATAATAAACAATATCTGGACGTGGTACCGTAAGATAATTTAGCTTGCCCACCAATGTTCAATACATTTCAGGATCATCAAATAACTCACCATCAGCTGTAAGTTGCAAATTAGGAGTCATTGGATTATTGCATGATTTGGCACCTAGATTTCCAGTTTATTTAGTAAATGGACATCCTTTCTTTGAGATAAAAAGATTCCCCTCTTACACCTGGATACTTCAATACCCAAAAATTGCTTTAATGATCCTAAGTCTTTTGTTTGGAACTGAGTCTTACCACCTCGCAAATCTACCAAATCAAGCTTGAGGACTCTGTTTTAGGCCATAAAGAGATTTGCGAAGTTTACACATTTAGGTGACTCCCCCTGAGCAACAAAGCTTGGTGGGTGCTCTATGTAAACTTCTTCCTGAAGGTCCCCATGAAGAAAGGCATTCTCAACATCCAGCTAATGTCAAGGCCAATTGTAGAAATTAAAGGAAAGGATATGTTTTATTTCTTTCAATTTGTAATAATATTTTCAACCTCTACTCCACTATATATATACAAAAACTGTTCCAATATAGGAAGTAATCTAAATAGGAATATCCCTAAACTAGGAAAATCCCTAAACTAGGAAACATAATCTTTACAAACAAAGCCAACTCATTTAGAGAAGCGATCCACAAATGACCAAAGGGGGATGCATACAATGCGCATATTGGTTGGGACCAGTTTTATTTTGATATAATAGCTGGCCCTTCCTAAAAATCCACTCTATGGGATACCTAAGGGAAGAAGGTTTTAAGAATCACATAGTTGGTATTCTTGAGCATTCAATATTTATTACGTTTGGACCAAGTCTCAGAACATAGCGGCTAGGTCTCACAATCGTGTTTTGAGTGGTACCCTTAAACCCCACATTCCCCCTTCAATTAGAAGTTGGTGGCATTGCGGCCTTACTAAGTTCAAATTAGGAGACGACATTAGAAGCAAACTTGCCAAACTAATGGATTAATAGTAGGAGATCATGCGTAAACTTGTGGAGAAGTGAGAGACACTTACATAATCACAACAATAATCTGGAAACGTAGGTACCAAATTTTCAAGTTCATAAGAAATAAGTTAGCCATTTGCGCCTGGAAGACCCCATATGTTTCAATGTATAACATTCCCGGATCTATCAAATAACCCTCACCATCAGATCTTGTATAGTTTTGTGGAGAGATTAAGGGCCATGTTCACCTCCGAATGCGACTCCTCTATGGCAGTGTGATTTTAGGGGCACCTTACGATTCCCTCCCCAGTCCGGATGTGCTTCAGTCAAAAATGGACATCCTTTCATTTTGAGTATAAAGAGGATTTGTCTCACCTCTTAACACCTGGATACTTCAACAATCCCCAAACAATTGCTTTAATGTATCCTAAGAGTCGCTTTTTCTTA